GTCATGTTAGGGTTGGCATCAATGTAGTGTAACTAAGAGCCCAGAACTTATGTACAAAGAAAACCAAGTTGATCAATTAGACTGATCTTGTAACTATTTTGTATTGGTGCATTTTCCAGTGTAACATTAAATTTTAATATTGAAAGTCATTTAGGGATTATCTATGTATAGCTACATTCTCATTTGCATTCTTTTTGGCACCGCCGTCCCTGTATCATTTTGCATTTACAAAATGTTTTAATTACTTATACTAGTGTTAGTAAGACCGAGAGCCTAACTGTGTTGATTGGTACGATAAATGAGTATGACTCTTGAGGATTTTTTTAGGTTTTGTTTTATTGACTTTCTACAGTACAGATATAACTGAGTATTTGTCACTTGATAGCAAAAATAATTTGACATATAGTTAATGTTGAGATTTGGAGTTATTTTTTGATTTGAGACATAATTTGTTTGAAATTTATTTCCACTGTTTGATTCAAAATATTTAGATAGCATTTAATTCTAAATTCTGATTATTTTTTCTAAATCTTTTTATATAGTTGATGCAGAGTGTGATTCTAAGGATAACATAACATAATGTTTAGGGACAACAAGCCAGCCTTTATCAATCATATAATTATCAAGTTTTCTCTTAAACTCACTTAAATTTACTGCCTCCATAACATCCAAAGGCAACTCATTCTAAAGTCCAACCACTCTGTTCAAAAAATAAAAGTATCTCAACTGAAGATAACTCCTACCTTGTGAAAATTTGTATTTGTGTCCCATATTCCTACTATTCTCACCATTAAGTTTGAAAAAGATGATATATCAACACTATTAATTCTCTTAACAATCTTGAACATCTCAATCAGATTCCCTCTAACTCTTCTTTTTTTCAAGAGAAAACAATTTTAAAGATCTTAACCTCTCCTCTTATGGCAAACCTTTCATCCTAGTAGTCCTCCTCTGAACCGTTTCTAACAATTCGATGTCCTTCCTAAAGTAAGGAGTCCAATACTGAACACAATATTCCAAATATGGCCTAACCAGTGACCTGCACAATGAAATTATAACCTCTTTAGACTTATATTCAGTATTTTTGTAGATACAACCTAAAATCCTATTTGTTCTACCACTAGCAACAGTGTATTACTTGGATGGCTTTAGAGACTGATCAACTATTACACCAATATCCTTTTCTTCCATAACACTATTAAGGTTATTCCCATCCAAATTATACGTATAATTTAAATTATGATAACCCACATGCATTATCTTGCATTTATTATAATTAAAACCCATCTGCTATTTATTTGCCCAACTCACTAAATTATCTAAATCCTTTTGTAAATCAGCAGCATCCTCTTCACAGCTAGCAACACCCAAGACCTAAATATCATCAGCAAATTTAAGTAATATATTGACCATTCCTTCATCCATGGCATTGATATAAATCAAAAAGAGCAAAGGTTTTAAGACTGAGCCCTGAGGTACCCCACTTGTGACATTAATCAGTTTGGCTGAACTCCATTTGTAACAACCCTCTTCTTTCTTCCATCCAGCCTCTCTTCTATCCAATTAGCTAACTTATCTCCCAAATCTATAGGGATAATGTTTTTTTTACAACCCTCATGTGGCATTAAATGCTTTTTGAAAATCCAGATACAGTAAAACTACACCCTTATCTTCATCTGCATAAGCAGTAACCTTATCAAAGAATATTAAAATATTTGTAAGATAAGATTTTCCCTTAGTGAAACCATTTTGGTTATTCAATAAAATTTTCAAATTTGTTAAATGACTTTGCAAAGCATCTTTTATCAGACTTTCCAAAACTTTTCTTTTCCCACAACCGACGTAAGACCAATAGGCCTATAATTACTGGAACAATTTTTATCACCTCCCTTGAAAAGAGGAATAACATTAGCCAACTTTCAATCTTCTGGCATCTGCCCACTGTTTAAGGACTTGCAAACAATAGTAGTAAGTGGCTCACATATCCAATCTTTAACCTCTTTCAAAACCCTTGGGGAAATATTATCTGGCTCAGGACCATATCATTTTATTAACTTTCCAATTTCTTCTTAACAAGCTCTGAATTAATGTGATCATCCTGTTCAATTTGGTTTCCATCTATCAAATGTTCAAGATGTTTTTGAGTCAATGGCATCAATATTATTTAGTGATTGTAAAAAATGTGAGATTTGTTGTAGATTAAAAAATAAAAGAATGAACCATGACATTAATTGACTTTTAATAGAAGCACGTAACATATAAAGACACAGGAAACAATCACTAGGTTTCAGCTAAACTATGCTATTATAGCAGTTAAACATTAGCTACAATAATGGTTTATAACATATTCTGTCTCATTCTGTGAGTGGTATCGTATTTACACAAACAGTATTGTGGATTTACATAATAATAACTTATAGACAACAAGGTACCTTTTGGTCCTAATAATAACTTATAGACAACAAGGTACCATTTGGTCCTAATAATAACTTATAGACAACAAGGTACCTTTTGGTCCTAATAATAAGTTAGGGACAACAAGGTACCTTTTGGTCCTAATAATAACTTAAGGACAACAAGGTACCTTTTGGTCCTAATAATAACTTAGGGACAACAAGGTACCTTTTGGTCCTAATAATAACTTATAGACAACAAGATACCTTTTGGTCCTAATAATAACTTAGGGACAACAAGGTACCTTTTGGTCCT